TACGGGGTGACCCTGCACCCTCCCCCCATTTACCCCAAACATTGCTCCTGTGATGCCCGCATAAACTAGACCTCTTGGCCCCGTTTGCTCTGTGGTCAGCTCTCTGACCTCTGGGAAGCATTGCTTCAGCGCCTCAGTCCTTTTGTCTGGATGCGCTGGACACTCGGAGAGCAGATCATTAACTGTCTGCTTGGCGATCTGGCCGCAGGGCTGACGGACACTGGGGTTTCTGGCTGGGATGATGCTGCCGCTCTGTGGCCCTGCACCTTCCCTCAGGAGTAGGGGCTCCTGGGGAGACCCCTGGAGCTCCTGCACCTGCCACGGGAGGGCCACACAGGCAATGGGTCGTGCTGTTGGACCTGCCTGTTGGGTTGATCCGAGGAAGCCTCACACAACCCTGAGATTAAATGCAGGACTCAGAGGGAGGCAGTTTGTGTGGAGGGTGAGGGGCCCTGCCGAGTGCTGGGGGTGGGGGCACTTGAGTGGATCTCTGGGGGAGGGAGGGTTCTTGCTTGTCTGAGGGTCTCTCAGTTTGGAGCTTTTAAGAAGCTCTAATGAGACCATTACCCTGCCTTTGTGAAGCTGGGCAGGATCATCGTAAGGGCAACACCAATGTGAACTGTTCTCATGTATAAATTATATATAAATGTCAGGGTCCCTTTAAAAAATCGTCCTCATCTTTGGAGAACTTTGATGTTCAAAAGATAGGGCTTTTCCCCCCTTCCTTCCAGTTCCAGCCTGTGGGGCCAATTTTGAGCTGATTTGTAAGTTTTGTCTCTTTGTCCCCCACCCCTTGCCTCGGGCCCTCCAGGTTCCCAGAGCAAGTATCTTCCACACCATTGTGTCACTCTCAGGGGTGTCTAGACAGCTCGGGATAAAGGGTTTTTTTGTTTAATCCTTCACCATCCAGCCAGTGTCCCCTGAATGCCTGCTCTGTCTCAGCTGCCACGGTGCCCGCACTGAGAGCTGCCCATACAAGCGCATCTCGGCCGAGTCCTGAGCCACGACTGGGGTTTCTCTCTGCTCCCCTCCACCCCCAGGGTGTCTCACCCCACTGAGGTTTTGCTTTGCAGTCAGTGTTTACATGTATTTTTTAAATGGAAAAATGTGAACATAAGCCAGAGCAGAGGCTGGTGTCTGGGGAGCAGTCACCAGCCAATCGCTGGGCTCGACTGCAGCCTCCTTCCCAGGCAGATCAGACGAAGGGATGCCAGTGAAGTTCCAGGAGGGTCAGGTAGGGCTCTTGTGCTTTGGCGGGTTGAAACTATGTTCTTGTTTCCTAGGCAACTCTGAGAAGGGGACACTGGGCATCTCATGGGCGTCCCATGACCACCTGCTAAGGAAGGCTGGGCGGGGCTGTGTGGACCCCATCTCCTCGGCCCCTGATTTCCTGCCGAGCCTCAGGGATGCCACACAGCGCAGCAGGAAGACAGGCCATTTGAACAGAGCATTTCAACCTTTTTCTTGAGCAGGGTGGGGTTTTGTACAAGGCTTAACTTAGGGGGAAAATTATTGGAGCTGCTGGAAATAATTTGGGGGGCTCCTCTTTTAGAGGCAGATTAGGGGTGGTCTTCTCCACCCTCTCCTGCCCCTGCCATCCCCCCCAACATTCTTCAGTAAACTTATAGGAGTAGATAAAGGTGAGGACCAGGGTGAGTTGCAGCACCCAAGATGGTTCTGCCTGAGATACTGAGTTCTCTGGTGTCTGGTGCAAGGTGTGGTTTTAGCCACAGGAAGAGGGATTAAAGAAACAGAAGGTACAATGTTTGTAGGACATATATTAAGTTAACCTTAAAAATGCATTTCAGATACAGTAGATGCAGACAAATACAGTTTGACTCCACTTACACAAGGTACCTAGAATAGTCAGATTCATAGAATCAGAAAGTACGTTGGCCGATGCCAGAGGCAAGGGGGTGGAGGCTGGGGAGTTAGTGTTTGATGGGGACAGTTTCAGTTTAGCCAGGTGAAAAATTCCGGAGATGATGGTGGTGAGAATCGCATAACAATGTGAGTATACTTGGTGTCACTGAACTGTACAGTTAAGTATGGTTAAAATAGTATTTTTATATCATGTGACTTTTGGTTGGTTGGTTGTTTAGTCCGACTGTTTGCAATCCCATGGACTATAGCCCACCAGGCTCCTCTGTCCATGGGATTTCCCAGGCAAGAATACTGGAGTGGGTTGCCATCTTCTTCTCTAGGGAATCTTCCCGACTCAGAGATTGAACCCGAATCTCCTATACTGCAGGCAGATTGTCTACCACTGAGCCATCAGGGAAACTTTTACTACAATAAAAATTTTTTTTTTTTTTTCAAAATGCACCAGGAAGGTACATTTGGGACACCCATGGGGACTTTTCTCCTCGGGTTGAACCATGCTTCAGTCCTAGTCAGATGAAGTCGCTGTGTTTAGACAAGGTAGAAAGTGGAGCTGGCTTCCCCTCCTTCAGTCATGGGGACCCCTTGAGGACCAAGTTTTGTCTTGGGTTAACTGTTTTCCCTGAATTTTTGTAAGACAGAGCAGGTAGTACCCACCTTTCTGGATACTGTAGCAGTGGGAGGCTTCGAGTGTAAACAGTAGGGGCTAATGGATTCACTTCTCTGAGGGTGGAAACTGGGGCGGGGAACTGCAGTTTTGCCAAGTTCCATAAGTTTGCCGAGTCTTCTTCGTGCTGGTAGAGATGCAGGTAGGTACAATCATAGAGGTTTCTTAGGTGAGCAGCTCATGGGCTGAATTTTGAGGACTGGGTGATCTCAGTGCTTGTCCTCTCATAGAAGCAGGGCGGTTTGGGGAAGCACTTACTGAAGGCTACCTAGGTGGAGTTTGGGGCTGTGGAGGATGCAGACGTGAGGGGATCAGCAACAGCAAGTGCCAGTTGTATAAACTGGACTGGAGATTGTGTGTATTCCTGGCGGACCTGCATACATGGATCACCTTGTCCTTTTGGCTTTAGACCACTTTGCTTAATGTTTATTGAGCACCTGCTATATGCCGGACACCATGCTCAGCCCTTTCCAGTGCATTAACTTATCGTGCTCCCAGGAATCTTGTTGAGTGTGTGTGTGTGTGTGTGTGTGGTCAGCGGGGGAGTGTTATTGTGCCCATTTCACAGATGGGAAAACTGAAGCGCAGGAAAATCAAATCATTTGCCTGGGATCACACACAGCCATGCTGGATACAGACCCAGCCTGTGGTCTGAATCACTGTTGCATGCAACCTCTGAGCCTGAGGAGACACATGACCTGGCAGAGGTGGGGAGTGGGTCTGGAAGCAACAGTCACTGGAGGAGACCGTAGCCAGGCAAAGGAGGGAGCCAAGCTGGGGAGGGGAGAAGGGGTTCATGTGATGCTGCAGTGTGGGATCGAGGTGGGTCCACCTGGCCTTGCTGTGTCACCATGTTCAGCCCTTAGCAGTGGAGGCTGAATGTGCCAAGTGTCATTGGTGAGGCCGGGAAACAGAGACCCTGAGTCTTGATTTTTTCCCTTCAGGAGGGACCCAGACGACTTGAAAATGTCCTCAGACTCCACTGGACAGTTTCAGCATCTCTGTTGAGCTGTTAGTAGGCCCAGCTGTATCTGCTGACTCCTACCTCCCCTGTCCCTTAAATAAAATAGCTGGTCAGCTTGGATAGCTGGGGCTCCCCATCCTGTGATGGGGAGCATCCCTGGCACCCCCCCAAAGGACTCTGCCTGTGTTTCCCTCGGCAAGAGTGCACAAGTGTCTTCTTACATTGTGGTGTTTTCCTTCCAGAAAAATCAACCTTAAGCCTCAGATTTTAATCACCTTCTCGAAGGACACTTCCTGTGGATATTTCGAGTGACAAGTGGCTAAGGTCATGCTTCTAAGTAAAATTAGACTTTTAAACTAGGTCACAAACTCAGATGCCCCCAGGGGCCAGGAAGGAGGCACAAATGAAGCAGCCCGAGGACAGCTATAGGGCAGGGTGAGGACTGTGGCAAAGCGGCATGTGGGTATCCTATACGAGGGGTGGCTCTCTTACCTTGACATGTGGAGTCCAGGGAACTACAGCGTCCACTTCTTTCTCTCCTAAGGGAGGCCAGGAATCTGGATTTTTTTTTTTAAGTAGACAAATAACTTAAAAAACTTATTGGGTTTTTTGTTTGTTCTTAAAGAAACAACCCAGAATAGAATGTCTGTGCCCTTTCTGTACAGATGAGAAGGGCAGGGCCAGGGAGCCTGGTGGAGTCACACAACCTGGGGCTTAAGCGCTGGGACGAGACCTGTAGCTGCTGGTTCCTGGCCTGGCCCAGTTTCCACCTGGCGTGCCACATCCTGGATAAAGCAGCAGGGCTGGGAACCAGCTCAGTCTATTCCCCTGCACCAGGAAGTACAGAGCCTTAAGACAATCGCATCCCTGCTGTCCTTTGCTCCCCTGCAAAAGGTGTGTTTATGGCTGCCTCTCTGGCACCAGGCACAGAGAACTTCCTCTAGATTGACCCTGGGGATCTCTGGCGCTGGCAGAGATCTATTGTCCTCATTTTACAGATGAGGAAACAGACCTGCAAGTTCAACTGACTTCACGGAGGGGGAATTTGAACGTGAGCCTGACCCTGAGCCTCGGCTTGTAACCGTCCCCCGTGTATAGCAGTGAGAAGGACATTTCACCCTTCACCTGGAGCTGGGGGACTCTTCCACAGATGGTGATGTGTTCTCAAGCTGACCCACCCCCCAGGGCATCCCCTGGACTTTGGGGAACCTGGTGTGGAGGTCGGTGCCCCCCTGCTGCCCTCCTGGTTGGGAACCTCGAGAGCACAGCTGGCTCCACCCACGGAGGGACCGGTCCTCGGCTCACAAGGTTGCTGACTAATTCTCTTTGCAAACGGTTCGGTTTCACATGCTTGAGTTTCCAGTAACTACGTGGGTGGATTTGTTTCATTTAAGGGCAAAACAAAACAAAACAAAACATGGAGGGGGTTTTCTTTCCCAAGAAGAGGACTTGCCAATTATGGGTTTACTGCATGCGGCTCCGGGCATCATGGTGCCGGTCGGCAGCCAGCGGGGCCCCTTGCCAGGCGAGCTCCGAGGTGGGAATCGCTTAGTCATTACCAGCGGGGGCCAGGTGCGGGAGGTTGGGGAAGTGCAGCAGCCACTGGGTCCTGCAGAGGGGCCCTGCACTCCTCCCTGGTCAGCCCTGTCCCGCAGGGCAGGGGCAGGGGACCCAGGGAAGGTGCCAGGTGAGTGAGACAGCTGGTTTTGCTTGCCGTGGGGCTGGCTGCACCTCCCAAGGGACTGGGCCTGGGAAAGAAACACTGCCCAGCTGGCCAGGCCACCTGCTTCAGGTGAGTTGAGATGGTGATGTGCCCAGGGAACAGTAGATTTTGTTGCGGAAGGAGTGAGAGACAGTTCCCATGGTCAAGGGAGTATGTGTGTGTGTCTGTCTGCCCCCACAGGCTCCACCAGGTGATGTCTGCATGCTGGTTTGGCGTGGCACTGGCCAAGCTGAGCAGACTTAACGTTGACGTTGGGCCCTGAGGCTTCTGCCATGCCAGGTGTGACTTTAGTTGCTGGATGATGAGGGAGTGTGGCTTGTGGCCAAGGGGCTGATTGATGGAGAGGGCCTCCAGGGACTCAGGGAAGTCAGTATTTATCAACAGGTCTGGGGATGTGTGGAGATCTCAGAGCCCATGTGTTGCCTTGGCACAAGTGCAGGTGCTCTGCTGGGTGGCATCTCTGGTCCAGGGTTTCATCTCTGGAGGATGCTGTGCATCTAGCCTGGCTTTTCTGGAGTATGCTGTGCATCTAGCCTGGCTTTGGGGGCTGGAGCAGTTATGAACCTGGCTTCGGAGTCAGATGGAGGTGGCCGGAGTCCTGCTCTAGTACTTCTTGCCTCTGTGACGTGGGCCTCAGTTTCCATCCATGAGATGGGGGTGTCAGAGGACCCTGTGGGTGGAATAAGTTGACATGGATGAGCTGCCAGGTACTGTCCTTGTTGTAATTGAACTTTAAGGCCTGGGGTGGGGCGGGGCCTTACTGCTCATGCACCTTCCTTCTCTGAGGAGGGAACATGCCTTGGAATTTACAATCCTTAATCCTGGCCTTTGAGAGCTTGCTTGGAAAGGAAGAAGGGCAAATATACTGATAACTCTGAACTAATATCATGTTAGAGGGTAATAAAGGCAGTGAGAGGCAAGTAGAGTTCTGGAGGATTTTGATGAGGTTTAGCGGGTGAATCTAAGAAGGCTTCCTGGAGGAGGTGACATTGAAGCTAGACCTTAGGATGTGTAGGAACTGGAGAGTGAGGAGGAAGAGAAGAAAGGAAGTGATCTTTCACTGGTTGGAGGAAATGTGCATATGCTTAGAAGCTCAGATGGTCCCCAGTGTGTAGTACATGCTTAATAAATACCATCATCAAAATCGGCAGGACTCCAGGGTTTTCAAAGATGTTTTTGTAGATATGGGAATTGACGCTCAAAGAAGCCAAGTCATTTGTCCGGGATCCAGGTTGGAAGGCAGAATTCAAACTCATTGCCTTGCCTTCCTGGGCCAAGGGGTGAAGTGTGTGTGTGTGTGTGTGTGTGTGTCTGTGTGTGTGCGCGCGTGCACACGTGCACGTGTGCACCTGCATGGGGTGGAGAGTGTCAGGCCACCAGGTGGAAGAAGACAGTTTTGAAGCCGTGTGCAGCTGATTTCCTGTGGCGAGGGGGCTGATCTTTTTGAGCCCCCGCAGTTACGCGGGCTTCTTGGGTGGATGCTTTTTATTCTCCGTTGACCTTCCGGCCTCCGTGTGTTGGCTCTGGCCTGCCCTGGCTGCACAGACAGGAAACGGGGACCCAGGTGAAGACCTGAGGGGAGTCCCGACCTTGGTTGGGTTTTTGTGCCTGGGTTCTTCTGGAACTTCCCTGAGCCCTGGGCCTTCCCTGGAGCTCCCGGACAGGCGCGAGGGTCTGACGAAGCTTCCCCTGGGAGCCAGGGGATGCTGTGAGCAACCGTGCCTCTGACAGCCAGGTGGGGACCAGAGGAAGCCACCACCTCCTCTCCCTTTCCGGGCAGATTGTTCTGGGCTGATGCTGCGTGAGGATCTTCGCTGGCGCTTCCTGTGGCCTACTGGGGGTGTGGGGTGAGGGGTCTGGGCCGATGCAGTGAGGGGTGAAGATAGATGTGAGCACCAACAGTCTCATGATGCCCCTGGATCCTTGGCCTGGGAGATGGCCACTCATGCCTCCCCTGGTCTGTGCCACCTAGGCTGTCCATCCTCCCTGGCCCCTGCCTCCTTTTTACACTTCCTTCCCTGCAGTGTGGGCCCTGCCTGGGGCGCAGCATCTCTAGGCTTCGGTGGTACAGGAGGCAGAACACGATGTCTCTCTTTGTCCCTGAGGCCACTCCTGCCCCTAGTCTCAGGCTTCCAGCAGTCTGGGAAGACTGGGGGGTTTTGTTTTTAATGTTTATTGATTGATTATTTATTATCTAGCTGCACTGGGTCTTAGTTGTAGCATGCGGGATCTTTAGTTGCAGCATGTGGGAATCTTAGTTCCTCAACCAGGGATCGAACCCCAGGCCCCCTGCACTGGGAGTATGGCGTCTCAGGCACTGGACCAGCAGGGAAGTCTCAGGACCGTGAGTTTTGATTCTGACTTTCGAACTGGATCCTGGGTAGATGACTTAGCCTCTTTGAGTCTCAGTTTCCATGTCTATAACGTGGGTGTGAGGATCACTGCAAGGACTAGACAAAGGACTGAACCACATGGTGCCTCAGAGAACTGCTCTTCTGTCATCTGGCAGTTCAGGCGGCTCACCCAGGTCAGTGCCTTGGCGGGGCTCTGGACACAGGGGGACCCCTGAGGATTCTCCATCCGTGGTGGGGACAGTAGTGTGAGCTGTAAACAGAATGGTGTGACTGGTGTGGTGCACAGCTCCGAGGGGGGCCCCCTAGCCCAGGAAGCCCACCTTGCTGGGGGTGCTGTAGTGAGTCCTAGAGAGCAGGTGGGGGCTGGGAGGTGGGAGCCGAGGGGCTGGTGTGGAAAGGGCAGCGAGCAGAAGCACCTTGTGGGCCGCAGGCTGAGTGTGGACACGGCAGGCTGGCGAGAAAGGCAGACGGAGCCACCCCAGCCACATGCTGTTGACCTTGACTGTGGGACAAGCCCCGCCCACCTCAGGACACCCCCAGTGGCTATTCCTCTTCTGGGGCCTTGAAATGCAGGAGCAGGAGGGGAGGCTGTCTGCAGGGACGGAGACAGTGCTGGGGCCCTGTTGCTCCACACCCCTGCTCGGGACCCCGGGTGGAGGCTGGTCCCCTTTGGAGTTTAGGAAGAGATGGGGGATGCCTGAGGTTAGGCATTTGGGGAAATCCTGGCCTGTGAGGCTGATGGTGAGTGGGGAGAAGACCTACCATGGAGCAGACCCAGGTGTCCCCTCAGATCAGGGAAGGGGGTGGTGTCATAGGCTGGGAAGGGGCAGAGTGAAACTGAATTGCGATGGAAACAGGTTATGGATTTTCTGCGGCTTTGATGTTCAGGCTCCTCCCTCACAGGCGTGTCCGGTGTGGTTTTGGGAGGGGGCTGATGTTGGTAGGGCCACCTCTCTAAGGGCAGGGTTTCAAAGCACCATCCAGCCTGGTGTCTTGTCCTGGAGACAGGATAGGCCCCTCGACATGAGCTCCTGAGTCCACACCCACTGGTCCTGTGGCTGCCCCAGCTTCTGCCTCCCCACTTCTCCTGTCTCTTGGATCTCGTGGGAGGACCCTGGCTGGACCTGGCCTTGAGTTGGCCACCTGCCTGCCCAGTCCTGGAGTCCAGGACTCCTGGAGTCCTGGAGTTCTGACACTCCTTCTCAGAAGGGCAGAGGGGGATTCACGCTTCAAACCCATTGGGTCAAGTGACTTCTATTGTGGCAGTGGGACCACCTGCGTGGACAGGGTCAGAGTTCTCTGCCAAGCCCTCCAGATGTCCAGTTTGGTGTCTTTGTCTCACTGTTTCTGGGTACCCTCCTCCCTCCTTTGGTTTGTCTTTGCCTCCCTCTTAAATTTACATAGCAGTAACCTCCTTCTATAAATATTTACTGAGTACCCACTTTGTCATGGCCATTGTTCTAGGCAGGGAGCTTATAGCAGGAACAGGGTATATTGGAGGGTGATAATTAACCATTACTGTCTCTCAGGCCAGGACCACCCTCTGTGTTTTGGGTGCGTTTCTATCTTCAGGGTCCGCTAGTAACACATCCTCCCTCCCCCCCACCCCCAGCTAGGTGGATTCATTTCATGTCACCCTGGGAACTGGTGATACAGATCTGGGGCTGGTCCCAGTGCTCAGTGCCTGGCCTGAGGGGGTTGTAAGGAATCCAGGAGGTGCTGTGGAAGTCCTGGGGATGTGGTAGGAGCCGCTGAAACCTCCTCCAGGGCGAGATCTTGGTTCTTTCTGGTTGTGTCCTGGTGTCTGCCTAGCACGCTGGCTGGGACCGGGTACAGGCTAGTGGGAAGAACTTGTTGGAGGAATGAGTGAATGAATGAGCTAGCCAACCTCTTCACTGACCATGGGAAAGTTAGTATCTTTGATCCAATCGCTCATATTCCATGGTTGTTTGTGGACTCTTGTCTCCACGAAGGTGGGGGCTCCATCTAACTAGTTCGGCCGCCAAAATACCTAAGACAGTGCCTGGAACACAGTGGGGCTTGTTCAGCCAATCCTTTTTTAGCCATCACTTTATCTGGGCTGTAGGGGATGCACCCCCGAGTGGCTGCCCCCCATGCCCACTGATCATGTCCTTCCTTCCGACGTAGCCTGGAGGGTGGGCTTCGTGTCTCTTGTTCCCTTGTGAGGACTTTTCATTACGTCGCTGGTGTTTTTGAAGCCCCATCTCCCATCGTGGCTGGTTTTCAGGGAACGGAATTATAGAAAGCTATGGGCTTCCCTGGTGGCTCAGATGATAAAGCACCTGCCTGCAATGTGGGAGACCTAGGTTCGACCCCTGGGTCAGGAAGATCCCCTGGAGAAGGAAATGGCAATCCACTCCAGCACTCTTGCCTGGAAAATCCCATGGATGGAGGAGCCTGATAGGCTACAGTCCATGGGGTCACAAAGAGCCGGACACGACTGAGCGACTTCGCTTTCACTTTTCATGGTCGTGAAAGACTGGTGTGACCAGGAGGATTCACACCTCAGGCTTTGGTGGAAAACCCTCCCCTCCTTTAAAAATAGGCCTCTTGCTTCTCCTCTGCTCCATCACGTCTCAATTCCTGAGTCTCTGCCCCCTCCGCAGGTCAAGGCAGTGGGATTGGCAGCAGTGTAGTTACAGGTCTGGATATAGTCCTATTTCCCTTTGAACCTTCTCCTTCTACACACATACACACACATACACACACACACACAGAGCTGATAAAAAGCTCTTAAACCTCCTCAGTTTAGTCTGCTGAGGCCTTGCAGACGGTAGGCCTTAAACATTTGCATTCCTTGAGCTTAGCCGATTCTCTGGAGTGTCGAGTTTCTGGGTTAGTGGTACGTGGAGGGAAAAGCCAGAAGTCTTGACAAAGAAAGCATGTGTGTGTGTGTGTGTGTGTGTGTGTGTGTGTGTGTATTGGAATTCCAAGTATTCTGGATGGCACAGAGTGGGCTTCAAGTACCAGGGCCCTTTCTCAGGGGAGAGCAGGCCCTGACCTGTCAGTCATCCCCTTGGTACCCTCGAGAGAGGTATTTCAACAGTTTGGTTCTCAGACTTTTAGTGAACACTTACTGTTTAGCCAAAAATGGATAAGAGGGCTGTCGCAGAAGCTCATGAACCGGGGCAGGAGACAGATATGGGCAGCTAGTTGATGCTGTATTTCATCACATGTATGCCCCATGCAGAGGAAAGTTCACCATTTTATCATGAGCTGCCCATTGTCACTGTAACGAACTGTCAACTCCAGAACCAGCCCGATTTCAGTGATGTTAACATGTGAATCATGCTGAATAGTGATGGTGAAACTGTGACAGGATGGAGGCACTGGCCTATCCAAGGGCATCACCGGGTTCATGGAGAGGTTCATTCAGCTTCAGCAGGTACCTCAGGGTGGAGGCAGTTTCTGGGCAGAGTAGGGCTAGGAATATAGCAGCAGCAGTGAGAGCAATACCAGTGGGCACCACTGACCAACGTGTGGCCCTGTTCTGGGCCCTCACTGTTCATTTAGTCACTGTAGCCTCTTACCTTCAGGGGGAGCAGCTGCAATAAGTCTGCTGTCCAAGCGGCAAAGGTAGACCCAGGTAACTCACACCTGGGAATAGCATCGGGCAGGGGATTTCAGTACCCACTCTCCCTGAGCTCCCATCCCGTGAGGGTCTTTTTTCATTCTTAAAAGATATTTATTTATTTATTTGGCTGTGCTGGGTCTTAGCTGCAGCCTACTAACTTTTAGTTGTGGCATGTGAGGTCTAGTTCCCTGACCAAGGATCGAACTCGGGCTCCCCAGATCAGGGGATCAGATCCTTTTTTTTTTTTTTAAATAGTCTATGGACTTTTTCCAGATTAAATATCACTGATCATTTTTAAAATTAATTTCTATTTGAGTATAGTTGATTTACAATGTTGTGTTAGTTTCTGCTGTAGAGAAAAGTGAATCAGTTATACATATACATATATCCACTCTTTTTTAGATTTCTTTTCATATAGATCATTACAGAGTATTGAGTAGAGCTCCCTGTGCTATACAGTAGGTTCTCCTTAGTTATCTATTTTATATTTAGTAATGTGTATATGTCAATCTCTATCTCCCTATTTATTCCTCTCCACCCCTTGAGGACAGCACCCAGGCCCCCATCCTTCACTATCTCCCCAAGTCTGCTCAGATTTATGTACACTGAGTCAGTAATAACGTCTAACCATCTCATCTTCTGCCACCCCCTTCTTTTGCCTTCAGTCTTTCCTAGCATCAGGGTCTTTTCCAAAGAGTCAGCTCTTCACATCAGGTAACCAGAGTATTGGAGCTTCAGCATCATTCCTCCCAGTGAATATTCAGGGTTGGTTTCCTTTAGGATTGGCTGGTTTGGTCTCCTTGCAGTCCAAGGGACTCTCGAGAGTCTTCTCCAGCGTCACAATCGAAAGCGTCAATTCTCTGGCGCTCAGCCTTCTTTATGGTCTCCGGGAGGTAGTTAAGGACAAAGAAGCCTGGTGTGCTGCAGTCCTTGGGGTTGCAAGGAGTCAGACACAACTGAGTGACTGAACAGCAGCAAACAACCCCCTGAGTGGCTCTTTATTGAAGACCTGAACCTCTGGGGCGTAGGCCCTGGTGCCTAGGCTCCTGCTTCTTTGTCTTGGACCCATCCCTGTAGCTTGTCTGGAGCGACCGCTCCGTATGTCCCAGGCACTGGGGTGCATGTGCATCATCTACCCCTCAAGCCATCCCGGTGAGACAGAGAGTTATTGTCCTCATTTCACAGCTGGGGAAACTGAGGTCCAGAAGGTCGCAGGTCAGAGATGGGATTTGAAATCTGGGTTGGCAGCTCCCAAGTCCTTGCCTGTCTCTCACTTTCAGAAGTTGTCAACCTATACTCATTTGTTATTTTCCCCCAGTTTGTACCATGCCTTGACTTTTTGGCAAGTGGGATGTCAAAGCCCTGACTTGATGACTGAGTGAGACGGGGCATCTGTGAGTAAGACCCAGGGTGGCAAGTGTTTCTCAGAACTTCATGAGAAGTGGAATAATTCCTGGGGAGATAGGTACTTATGGGCTCCTGGGCCGAATTCTAGAGAGGCCAGGACCGCCCCTGGTTCCCCTGAGGGTGAACTTGGGCAGAGTCATTCAGAGGGTCAAGACAGCCAGTGTGGCCAGGTCTGGTCATCTGGTCCAGCCATGCCGGTGGTCAGCGGGAGGCCGAGGTGCAGTGGTGGGAGGCCCCCGTGTGGAGGGGAGGGGAGCGCCGCGTTGGACCTTCAGACACCTCCAGCCCTCCCCCAGCCCCCTGTCCTTTGTTGTCTGGCCGCGTCAGACGTCTGGGTTTGCAGGGAGGTTCCTGAATGGGCCTTGGAAATAGGTCACTCCCTTCCCGTGCCGCCGGCGCTGACCCACATGTGACCTTCCCCGTGGTGACTGTGTCTGGCCATCACTCTTTGATGCTGTCTGTGGAGGGGCAGTGAACGAGTGGGGGCAGGGCGGCCGCCCCTCCCCTCTCCAGTGGTGGAGGACTTTGCCGCCCAGCACCAGCGCCCGCCGGATGCGCCTGCCGGATGCGCCGGCCAGCGGCCCTCCTTCCCTTGGCCATATCGGAAAGGGGAAATCCAACACTCCCGACCCTCTGTCTGAGCATCCGACCTTTTCCGCTCCATGAAGAGCCCTGGCTGGACCGGCGGCTTTGACTGGATGCCTGCTGAACCGGAGCCGAGGGGGCTGGCGGCTCCACTGGTCCCCTCCTCGGCCCCCAACCCCGCTGCCTGGCTCGCGCACGCATGTGCGTTCTGCAGAGTTGCTGGGGTTTTTCCGTCTCTCCCCCTGGCTGGCCTGGGGAACCGTCCCTCAGAGATCGTGGTGGGTCTCAGATGAGCTTGCTGTGTGGCCCCGGACACAAAGTTGCCCCGAAGGTTAGCACTTCGACAATGACCAGTGTCTGGAGTCAGTACTGGACGGCACTTCCCCTCACCTGGGCCTGGAACCCTGTCTTCCATAGAGGCCTTAATTTGGGCTTAATTTTTTGGCTTCATGGAACCCAGATGTTCCTGTCGCAGAGACAGGAGAACACCAGGTTCATCACCCTCCAAGGAGACGGTGTCTTTCTCACACCTGGCTGCCCTGGATCGCTGGCACCAGATTCCTGGAAAGTGGCCTCTGCTGATCCTTAAGGCCTCCTGGGCATCAGCGAGACAGTGGACACTGCCCACACCGTTGACACCCCGATGCTGGGGCTCCCTGGTGACAAGCAGTGCCTATCTGCTGTGATGCTCGCACACCTCAGGGGTCAAATGTCGGGTCTCGGAATCACAGGATCTCAAAAGCAGGGGCCTGGTGTGGGGCCTCTTCCCTCCCTCCTCTCGGATCCTTCCTCCTCTCAGATCCTTCCTCCCTGAGGCCAGTGGGAAATTCAGGAAATTCTTTCCTGCAGGAAGGAAGAATCAGGATACAGACCCAAAGAAGGGATGATGTGCAGGCTTGATGTACCATCTTCCCTTGGCCGCCTGAATCCCTCCTCGGGGTAGCCTGGTTGCTCAGTTCTATCACAGTCCCTAGGTTTTTCTCCTAGGTTTTTTAGGCCGTGTGATTTTTGTGTGCCAAAGCAGGGGACTGGATCCCTGCTGGGTAAGCACATGTTCATGCTTTTCCGAGCTGGTTGGCGCATCTGATGCAGCTGGAACGGGCTCCAGATGGACCGTGCTGTGCCTTGGACCCACTGCACCCACAGCACCAGCACACTGTGGGGCCCTTTCCAGTTCCTGGCATTGGTGAACTGTGGCCTGATTAGCTTCATCGCATTTGCCAGCCTCCTCTGTGACAGGTTCCATTGCGATTCTGTGGCTCAGGAGGTCCTCCGGGAGGTTTCAGTGGGAAACGGCCCTTGCTGTCTTCCGTGGTGTGTCTAGGTGCCCGGCCTTGGAAGAGCTTGGACCCTAGACACTGTGTACCCAGCGAGGAGGCCAGCCCGGCTGGGGATGGGCAAAGTCAAGACAAAGGCCCAGTTGTGCCCTCGGAGAAAACCCAAACCTGGGTTTCCCTGCGGCCGAAACTGCCAGTACTCAGCCCACCTCATTCCCATAAAGGAAACTTTGTGTGTGGCTCCCGGCGGCGGAGGCAGCCAGCATCGCCCGGCGCCCAGACGCTCCCTGGGAATGGGCGTGACCGCCTCGGAGCCACAAGTTGCTGCGATGATAACTCCTGTGACCCTTGACCTCTTAGAGCTGACACTGGGCCAGACGATGTCCAGACAGTCATGTTGGGGACAACGAGTCTGTTCTCCGTGTCTGCAGGCCAGCCTTGTTGGGACCAGACCAGAAACATTCTTGGAAAACCGAGTGGGTGAGGGGCTGCCGGGACAGGACTACGATAGGAGGCACCTGGTGAGCCAGTCTGTGCCAGTGGGCAGCAGGGGGCCGCGGGAGCCCCATCTGGAAGCCAGCTCTGCCCCTGCCCCCCGCTGGCTGCTGCCCCCTGAATAGAGGGCTTGTGTAGACACTTGACGCTGGGGCCCCAGGGCTCTGGGTGGAGTATGTGGCCAAACTGCTGCTGCTGCTCCTGGGATTTCCAGGAAAGAGCAGCCAGTGCAGGAGAGAAGTGGTCCAGGCCGCCATGTCTCTGGGTACCAGTCGGCCGGGCACACTGAGGATGGTTTGGGCTGTGTAGGAGTGTGGGCTATTGGGGCATTTGGGAACTGAGTTCTCAAGAAATGAGGGTCTGCACATCAGTTGTGGGGAGGTTCCAGAGCAGGTCGAGGGCAGACATATGGATGCCTGACCCTCTCTAAGAAAGTGGTGAAGGACAGGGAAGCCTGGTGTGCTGCGGTCCATGGGGTCGCAAAGAGTCAGACACGACTGGACAACTGAACAACGCACATGACAGTTCGAGCCTTTCCTGGAGGGGGCTCTGTGCCCGGTACATAGTGGGCACTTGGTAACCTTGCCGAGGTGACCTGTATGTCTAGTGGATGCCCCCCAGATGGTTTTAATCTGGGAAGCCGCACAATCAAATGAACGTTTGAGAAGGCAGAGCCTGGGCCGGGCTGGAGGCTGGTTGGGAGGGGGCGTGCGGCCAGGGCCTTGGGCAGACTCAGGACAGAGCCTGGCCCCCACACCCCCCACGCCCCCAGGACTGGGGTGGGGAGCCCCCTCCCACTCCCGCTTCCTCCTGGGGCAGCCTGTCACGCTGGCCCCCATGTGCCTCTCTGTACACGGCCGTCTGGACAAGTTTGGGTGGCGGAGCTGGATCCTATCATTAGCTTTGCCCCCAGCATCCTCTCAGCCCTCTTCTTATCCGGAGAGCTGTTTTGTTCACTTCCCTCTTTTAGCTGCCGGCTAATGTTTGTGGCGGATGAGCAGGGTGTGTTTCTAAAAGCAGCCGGCTGCCCGGTGAGGCCGCCTTTTCACTTGGGTGGCCCGGCTTCCTGGGCTGGCATAAAACTCCCTGCGGTTGAATTTTTTTTGCTCCATAAAAAATCAAGGGAAGATACATTCAGGTCCCCTCATCCGCCCTGACTCATCCCGAGAGCAGAGATGATGCTTCAGGGGGCCTGGGGTCCATGAGGTCAGAGTAACCCACCCACTCCACCCTGCACCCTGCCTGTTCCCACGAGTGTGGTTGGGTCAGCAGCAGCTTTGGAGCCATCTGGTGGAATGCTCTCCATGGGCTGAATTTGCTCTGCTCTGACTTTGGTTGGTTGGGTCTTTGATGCTCAGGAGTTTTCTTGGCTAACGAAGCTTCACCGCTCAGTCACCCAAAGTGCCTGTAAGAAAGTCAGTGGGTGGGGTCCAAATGGCCCCCTAAGCAGTGGCTGAGAAGGTGAGATGCCGTGTCTCCCCTGCGGTCGCTGCCTGCTTCTGGCCTGGTGTTTCCTGCTGGGCGGGCTGGCCTGGGAGGATGGGACTGAGGGCTGGGAGACCCAGCCCTGGAACTGGGGGTTGAGTCTGAGGACCCCAAAGCTGCTGTGCCCACGGGCTCTCCTGCAACTGCAGTGCCCACCTTCCAGAAAGGGGCCACAGGGCAAGGTCACCCTTTGCTCCGCCTGCCCCCACCTCCCCAGCCCCGCAACCAGCCGTCTTCCCTCCCACTCGCCTGGTGGTGGTAACCCCCGGCTGGCTGTTCGGAAGGGGCTTTCCTCTTTACTGCAGTTTAGTCTGCGTTGGTTTAATTTGAAAGACTTGTTGCCTCTGAGTCAAAACATAAAAATCCCCTTGGATGCGCTGTGGTGTTCACTGCCTTGGGAGCCCCTGGCGCCATCTCTGGGGAGGTCCCTAATCCTTCCCTTCCTGCCACAGCCAGGTGGGCAAGGCTCCTGGGACCTTAGATCCCAGGCCTCCACCTCCCCTCCTCCCACCTCCATGCATCTTCTGGGGCAGACACTCAGGGCTGGGTGTCAGGATGACTCCCCATCCGTATCTGATGTCGCTGGCTGTGGACCAGCCCAGCCCCCTTTGTTGGGAATTCCCTGGCAAACCAGTGGTTTGGACTCTGCACGCTCACTGCCGAGGGTCTGGGTTCAAGCCCTGGTCAGGGAACTAAGATCCCTCCATGGCCAAAAACCAAAAAGAGAAACAACAAAAACAGAGAAAACAGCTCCCCTTTGTCCACATGCTAAACATGTAGCGCGTGCCAGGGGACTCCATGAGCTAGCTGCCTCCAGAGTGGCTGTTTCTAAGATGGTCTGCAGGGTTATAGGTAGAAATTAGTAGCTTTGTTTTTACTTTTATCTCCTCTTGTTGAATATCTGGGTTTTTTGGTGTGTGTTTCATAATGTATGTCATCTATTGATACAGAAGTATATGAGTATAATATGTGCCCAATATATGTCTATGGGGAGATACCTGCTTAAAAGCTAGCAAACGGGGTGCATAACCAAAAAAAGGCTGATATATTCTGCTGTAAATGAGCTCTGGTTTGTGAAGGGAGGGGGCATCACTGGGGTCCAGGGAGGGCTGTGGTGGGGCATGTGTGGGTGCAGGGGACCGAGGGTGTGGCTGTGAGGTGGGCAGACTGCAGAATCTTGGCTCCTTCCTGTTTTTTGGTTACTGTGTGTCATTCAGGTACTCATGGAGGCCTGGGCCTGCTACAACAGGCTGTTGCAGGAGTTTGTGGGAGAAGTCTGGCTCCTGTAGACACCATGATAGACGCCGTTTCTTTTATTTTTTAATTATTTGTTAAAGTTACTAATTAACTTGGCTGTACCAGGTATTATTTGCAGCATGCGGGATCTTCAATTTTCATTGTGGTATATGGGATCTTAAGTTGTGGTGTGCAGGATCTAGTTCTCGACCAGGGATTCAACCCAGACCCTTTGCTTTGGGGGAGCAGCATCTTAGCCACTGGACCACCAGGGAAGTCCCGGTGGACACCACTTCTTAAGATCTAGATCAAGGGTTCCCAAACTCTTAAGGACCAGAGTGTAAATATTTAGGCCTGTTGGAACTACTTGACTCTGCTGTTACAGCAGGTGAGCGGGAATGCCAGAGGCAATGTGTAAACCAAAGGGAGTGGCTTCGTGCCAATAAAACTTTATTTACAAAACCAGGCAGTGGGCCAGATTGGCCCATGGAGTCATTGTTTGTCAAACCCTGGTCTAGATTAAGAGGAGAGACCCAATGGAGGCTCAGAACCAGCCGAGGTTACCCACCAAAAAGCACGCCTCTGACCTTGCTCCACTGGACCCACCCTCAGGGGACTTGGGGGCAGGGTGTGGCCCAGCAGAGAGTCAGTGAAGCAGTAAGCAGCCCCTAACATCCCAGTGGAGAGCGCTCAACTGGCAGCACGCTTTCACACCTTCTTTAGAGCCAGAGAAGTGTGGCCTTGGGAGGGGGCAGAGCCCTGCTCATCCTAGAATCAAGAAGCAGCAGAGCCGAGAGATTTGGAGGCCCTCCAAGCTGGAGTCCTTAGGGATGTGGAGGGGGAAAGTGCGGAAAGAACATCCCCTTCTCTTCCAGGGTGAGAACCACTAGAGTTGAAACCTGCTAAGCCGGACTTCGCCTGCAGGACTTCTCAGAGCCTTGAAGATGCTGATGGGTTCTCTGACTCTCTTGGAGGGTATATAATATTTCCCCAAACTTAGAAACAATTTTTCAGGATCTGTCCAGATCACTTTAGGGAAGAGCTGCTCTCCTTCAACCCTCTGTTTTATAGACCTAATGGAAACCTAATGCCCAGAGAGGTTGAATGTCTTCCTCAAGGTGACATAGGAGGCTGGTGACAGTGTTGGGATGGGTGCTGGCTTCCTACTCAGCCACCTTCTTCCTGGCATGGCCTTGCCCTGACCTGAAGTCACAGGTATGGGTGTCCCAGGTTGTGCTTCTGGCCACAAGAAGATGACTTTGTCCCAAGGATGCACTGTATTCTTCCATCCGAAGCCCACTCTGTCTCTGGGTTTCTTAACCTTGCACTGTTGACTTTATGGGCAGGTTCGTTTTGTAGCAGGCCTCCACCCATGAGATGTCACCCCAGCTGTGACCACGAAAAATGTCCCCAGACCTGGCCAAATGTCCCCTGGGGGTAAAACCACTCTGGTTAAGATGCACTGAACCAACATGTGTGGAGCCTACACTTGCTGGAGTTGTTGATAAATGGTAGAAAGATTTGTGGGAGTGCAGGAGAGTTTTCAGGGCTGGGGTGGGGGGAGCAGTGGGGGAAGCATCCCAGGCAAGTTGCTGGAAGAGTCCTGAGTGTGTAAATCAAGATGAGGGAACAAGAGATGGTTCAGTTCTGCATTAGGGTCAGGTGAAGACAAAGGTGAGATCCCAAATGGATGGAGGGTGTGTGCCCTATGGTCAGAGGACTTCACCACAGCGCTGGAGGGAAACGACCCTGCACACAGCGAGTATTCTGGAAAGGTGATGAGGATGGTGGAGGAGACAGATGAGGGGGTGCAAAAGACAGTGGGCTGGAGATTGTTTCAGGAGGTGAGCCTGACAAACAATTGGAAGTCAGCTGGAGTCCAGGAGACCTCTCGGACCTCGGCCTTGGAGGCCAATGGGCTTGGGTGCAAATGTGTGTGATGGGAGGTGTGGAGAACATTCTGTGGGTAGTATCACCTACAGCCTTTATTCTCGAAACTTTGATGTTCTGAAGCTTTTAGAGATTTTTTTTCTGGGCCTGATGCCTTAGAGTCCAGGGAGGAAAATTGACCCAGATGACAGATAGCTGGTTCAGAATAGTCTGGGGACAAGTGTGCAGAGAGGAGAAACCTGACAGGCTGAGTGGGTCTTGAAGCACTGTTTGGGGTACACAAGGCATCCTATCTCAGTAAAGGTTTTAATCAGCTCCTGGGTATCTGCATTAGGGCACCAGTCACACAGGGAGGGCTTGTTTCAAAGCCTAACAGGATGGACTTCCCTGGTGGTCCAGTAGCTAAGACTCTGCCCTCCCAAGGCAGGGGGCCTGCGTTCGATCCACAACTAAGACCTGGGGCAGCCAGATTAAAAAAAAAAAGGTCTAATGAGCTTATGGAAAGGGAAGGGAC